CCCACATGTTTCCCACTAACTTCTTTCTTTTTACATGCAATGATTTGCATGTAATAATGAATTTCATAAATACATCTCATATTCCACATAATCCACCTAATCCACCTATCGTAGTTTGTTGAGCACACTCAAGGCCATGACTAGATGGATGGGATCTTAGCCCACTAAGAGAATCCTAGTATAGATCTCTCGAGGAGATATGGATGGTTATCATGTTGTAGAAAATAGTGAGAGAACTATTTAAAACTTTAAAACTTTGTTTTAAATAGTTTATGCATGATGTTTACTTATTGTTGTATTTTATCTATTTAGGCATAATTTACATACATGGCTAATAATCTGTCACTGCGGAGCACCTTGGATGCAAATAAACTTACTGGCTCAAACTTTCTCTATTGGTTTCGAAACCTCAAGATCGTCTTGAAATAGGAAAAGAAATCTTATGTCCTTGACACTCCTATTCCACCAGTCCCTATTGCTGATGCTAGTGCTAAAGATAAGGAAGCATATCAACACCATAAGGACGACGATGATCAAGTAGCATGCGTGATGCTAGCCAGTATGACCCTTGAGCTCCAAAAGCAACATGAACACATGGATGTCCAATCCATGATTCTTCACCTTAGAGAACTGTTCAATAAGGAGGGGTGCATTAAAAGATATGAGATCTCTAAAGAACTATTCCAATGCAAGATGACAACAGGTAGTTCTATTAGACCTCATGTACTGAAAATGATTGGACTCATCGAGAGACTTGGACAATTGGGATTATCAATGGATCATGAGCTAAGTATATACTTAATTCTACAATCTCTTCCTGACAGCTTTAGTCAGTTCATGTTGAACTTCCATATGAATCGATTGGAAGCCATTCTTCTTGAACTTTTGAATATGCTAGACATGGCAAAGAGGTCCATCAGGAAAGATAAGGGATCATTGCTTCTTGTTTCATCTTCCAAGGCTCATACGAAGCAACAGAAAAAGAAAGCCCAAAAGGGAAGAAGGTAAAATCCCAAAATGAGAAGG